ACATGTTAACGACAACTGCATCAGTTCTGAACTGAGCATGGCAGGGACAAGACAGAAAGAAATGGAAAGCATCTTTACTGTTATGGCCACATGACCATCGATAAAAAATCTGTCAAATATATGTGATTTTAAATCACTACAACCTAGCCTAATTCTAGGTAGAATCACTTGGGATTGGCGCTGGCCATAAGCAATAGATGTAAAATTTGAGGAAAGCTTAATTTCGGTGGAAATCAATTGCTTTAACCTAGATAAGGAATCTACATTTCTAAAATTAATATCGAGTGCATTCCAAGCTTGAACAACAGATGGCAGAAAAGATCGATTATGCTGGGATAAGTGCCCTGCATTGATCTGAAAGTCGTTATAGTTACGAAGGTTATATCCTGTTATGCTGGAGATATTAGGTGGGACCCATAAATATAGGTATTTAGGAGTCAGTCCATTGACCATTTCATAAAATAGACATAACTTATGGTAATGCCGTCTGTCTGACAGTGAGCAAAAACCCGTTTCCCTGTAAAGTTTTTAATGTCTGGTTTCTCGTACTGCTGTACATATTGTCCGAAGAGCATCTAAGTGTAAGTTCTCTAATATTTTTACTTGTTCATTATGACAATTATCCCAAATGTTATCGCAGTTGTCAAATATGGGCAAGATAAAAGATTTGTACATAATTTCAAGCGTTCTTCGATTTAACCTGTATTTTAGACTGCGCAAATAATTTGTCAATGGACTCACTTTAAGGACAAGATATTCAATATGATTTTCCATCTTCCTGAAAAACATGTCCTAGGTGTTTGTGATCACTTACTTCAGGTATAAGAACATACTTCTTTCGAAGAGGTAATTTAGGACTAGAATTAATTTTAGTCGAGAATAGCATGGCTTCCGTTTTGGTAGGACTAAATTTAACTTGCCATTTACCTGTCCCGTCTGATATACGTTCTAAGTCACTATTCAGTATAGCGCGCAGTCGTGGATTCAGGGTCTTCAATAAATAGATATGAGGATGTATCGTCACCTAAACGTTTAACAGTACTCGTTATCCCATGAGTCAGATCATTAATATAAACAAGGAATAACAGGGGTCCTAAAACCGAGCCCTGAGGAACTCCGGTTAGAATAGGTTTATATTTTGACATATAGACATTACTAAGGTAACTCCCAAACCAATCCAAATATTACCACTTGTTCGGGTTGACTTTAATTTCACTTGTAAACTTTCATGTCAAAACACGATCAAACGCATTACTGATATCACAGAATACAGCGCGAACTTCCGTTCCATCATCCAAGGCTTTGGAGATCACATGACATAATTCAGTTAACTGATAAACAGTTGAATCTCCAGGTTTGAATCCCGATTGTGAGGTGGTATGATATCATTGTACAAGAAAAAGTTGCTTAAATACACATTTTTTCAAATACCTTAGAAAGAGAACATGTCAAGGCAACTGGTCTATTGTTATTGCAATCATGAACGCTACCTTCTTTATGAATTCGAACAACAACAGATTGTTTCTTTTGACAAGGAAAACAGGAAAGACGTGGTAATAAGCTAAACAACTTGGCAATGGGAGCGCACAGAGACACAACTATTTTTTTAGAAGCTTATTACCAATATTAACTAGACCCTTAGCATTGGCAGTTTCTAGATTTAATAACATATCACGGACATCTCTTTCGGACAAGAGTCATTAAGTTTATATACAGGTTCATGTCAGCTGATAGTTTCCTTCTCGGGTTCCTCAACTTGGGATTGTTGAGAAAAGAATTCATTAAATGCATCAGCAAATTTGTTTATTACTTCTTTTAAATAGGTAGTTTCAACAGATATTAAAGTAACTGTTTTTCCCAACTAGGCCTTTTTATTTGGTCCTCTAATCATCATCCAAAATACATTACAGGTAAAAATAACACTAATGTGCATATTATCAACCAATTTAGAAACATACGTCACAATCAAGAATGGGTTGTAACAACAACCTGCAGAACTGTTTAGACAGGAAAATGCATTTGCACCTGCGTCGCCATAGCGATTGTGCAATTGGCAATCAAAGCTATGAATGAACTCGTAGAAATAGTAGACTTTCAACAAGCGTACAGGCATAAAAAATGTACTGAGACAATCCCTAAATTAATTATTTTGTATATCAATTAGGATAAAAGAAATAAAGGATGAATGGTATATGACCTTATTCATAAAATATGTTATGTACGCGAACCTATGGAGAGTACATCTCATTTGCATACTATAGCTTCTCTTGTATTAAACTCATCTATTTCGGATGATTTTACCAAAAGTGTTCAAAACAAAAGTTGGGAAAAACGATTGTCATAAAATATTTAACAATCAAACTTTAGTTCTGTTCAAAACTACGAAATACACGACCAAAGCCATTTTATTTCTATTTCCGTGAGTACTTTAGAAAAACTCAGACGAATATACCCCAAAAATAGCCTCACATGCTTTCAACCTATGTTTGATGCGGTTGTAAAATCACCTATTCGTACTGAGTTGTACACGTCTATGTCCGTTTGCTTTGTGACGCCGCACACTATTTGGCGATGTGTAAATATTGGAGTCGCAACAATCTGACAATCCAGAGATTGTCATTATATTACTGCTTTAACATGCATCAATGAACACCAAGTTTTATCAATTGAAGTATAAATTTCATAAATACAGGTCATGCCCATGAGAGTGAAGTGAAGTGAAGTTATAATGAAGTTAGTGCGATCCGTGTTCATCATTATTCATTATTATAAATTTAATACTGAACGAACTGACCGATGATCATATGCATATCGCCAAGGTAACCGCACCTGGTAAATGTCTAGATCACGTGTATTCCGTGTCGTGGGGGCGTTTGTTTCAGAGGACATGTAGCGACGAATAATTGTGTCAAGACACTGTGAATGGTCCTATTGAGAGGTAGGTTTGACTAGTATTGTCATCTGATCGCAATTACCGCTCCCTTTGAGAGTCCATCGTGACCTTATAAACAGACTTCAGTAACTTACAGAAAGGGTCTGACGTACTGCGTCCGGCTTATCCGTGATTAGTATGCACGATAACTGATGAATATGGAAATGAATGCATGATGTCACAGGTTAGAAAGGTGGATGAACCCGTGTTTTATCTAATGCACTCATGCTACTTTGAATGAAACCTTTCATGAAACGAAAACAAAGCATAGCTGATATGATGCGCGCAATTACGAGGTAGTCATATCACCCTGAATTGTACATAACGGTGAATGCACCCAGATTTAAAATAATAATAATAATAATAATAATGGACATTTGTTATGCGCTATAATCCACACACTAGTGCATGCTCAAAGCGCAGGGGATGAGGGAGAGAGTCAGTTATATACAGAGAAGAATCAGAGAATCAGAGTCTTTGATGTGGACTGGCAATGAATCCCATAGTCTTGGGGCTGCATGAAAGAACGATCGTTTACCAAATGAGGAAAGTCGGAAAGTTGGTCCAGTAAGTAGGAGTTGGGATCGAAGAGTTCTGGCTGGTGTGTATACAGTGATCAGGTCAGTGAGGTAGGATGGGGCTTGGTGGTGGAGGCATTTGTAGACAGTGCAGAGAACTTTAAAGTTGATACGTGATTCAATTGGGAGCCAATGAAGTGATTTGAGGACTGGAGTAATGCGACATGATTTTGACTGTAACGAAATAATGCGGGCGGTCGTATTCTGTATTTTCTGCAGTCTTTTATGCTGAGCCCTGTTAAGACCAGCAAGCAGTCCGTTGCACTAATCTAATCTGGAGGAAATTAGACATCTGACTAGAATCTTCGCACTTTCTTCTGTGATGTACTTCCGGATGTTCCCAATCCTGCGCAAATGAAAATAGCAGGTTTTACAAAGTCTGTCGATATGTACATCCATGGCGAGATCCGACTCTAGCCATACGCCAAGATCCTTCACCAAAGGAGAAAAGGCAACCTGTGAGGAACCTATTGTTAAACTATCACTTGTGATAATCTTCAATTGTTGTGATCTGCCAGTAGGTAATACTTCAGTTTTATCATCATTCAGTTTTAAAACTCTATTTGTCATCCATGTTTTTATCTGGGTTGTGCAGTTTTCAATGTTCTTGAACGTAGCTGCTGCTGTATCTGGTGTAAAGGTATTCACAAGCTGAGTATCGTCAGAATAAGAGTACTGGGAGGTATTGAAGGATTTGATGATGACAGAAAGCCCGCGCTTTTTCAAAAAGCCCGCGCCTCGCCAGAGCATGTTGAATAAAGAGAACTTTCTATTGAAAATTGGATACAGGGTGTGTACAAGTTCATAATATGTTGACTAAAGGCTGCTGTATAAGTTAGACATGACTTATCACAGTTCACGAATATGTAATATGTCCTGGAGTCGGAATTTTCAGAAAAGGGACAAATACAGCAGTTACACACAAAAAAACAAGGGGAGATTTGGTCAGGTTAGGCATGTATTACTTACACAGTCTTACTTAAACAGTTCGGTAAAAACCTTTATTGAATAATGGTCCCGCCGAGCCGATTCATTCAAGTCGCAACACCTATTCAATCTATTCGTGACACACGCGATATCCATTACGGGTAAGAGTAGATGTGAGATGAGTTTAGTTTTACGCACTCAGCAATATTCGAGCTATATGGAGGCGGTCTGTATATAATCATGTCTGGACCAGACAATCTAAGCAACTGGGATACGATGACATGTGTCCACCAAGCCAGCGAGTCTAACCACCCGACCCCGTTAGTCGCCTCTTACGACAAGCATGGGTTACTGAAGACCAATTTTAACCCGGATGTTCACAGTTCGGCTGGGAAGGTCGGGTCAGGTGGTCTGGTTGATTGCACGCTGGTTTACCTGGTCCAGGCTCGATAGTGAAAGGCCTTTGATGTAGGTGTAACGTGTAAGGAAACGTATCAATATGTAATGGAAAGTGAATGAATGTTAAAGCTTACTCTAGCAGGACCATGTACCATAACGGCGAGATGGAACCTCCACCCCCAGACGCTGAGTTGTACCCCCGGGCCGGACGCAGCACCTTCCTTCGTATAAGGCTCGATGTCCTCTTTAACAACATCTCCATTCTCAAGCAACGATGTTCGGCCCATACAGGTAACGATCATTAACTATAATCTACGTAGTAGATGTCCAAACATGACATGTTCATAGGCGGATCCAGGGTGTGTGTGTGTGTGCGTGCGTGCGTGCGTGCATGCATGCACGCGTGTGCGCGAGTGAAAATGAACCGTGCCCCTGTCTCAAAAGGCTGTGTTCGCCCTTAAAGTCGATATGCATTATTCTATTAATCGATTTCGAGGTGAAAGAGACTTGCTGATCATATTCATTTAACATACTTTAAGTCATCTACTTTTAAGTCAACGCCTTTCTTTCTAACAGACATCATAGCAGTGGTGAAAGCCAACGCCTACGGTCATGGCAGCGTGGAAATATCCAGGTATCTGGAGTCCCGGGGGGTCGGGCACTTCGCCGTCGCCATCCCAGAGGAAGGCGCTCAGCTGAGGCAGGCAGGGATACAGGGACACATACTGATTTTAGGTATTTTTCTCTTTAAGTAACTGAAACACTCTTTAAAGGGATTATTAACCCATCTCACCCTCTTCATGCAGTGTAAACATGTTTAGAATAAAACGTTTGGTTGTAGTCACCTCTAGCTTGATAACGATGTAAGGCATCTACATCGAAACGTCGCTCTATGCAGTAAACAGGAAGTTGTCATCCATAAAGTTGTATATGTCATTTTGACTCAAAACTCCTATTGGCGATCAAACAATGCACATCAAACAATAAAGTAATCCCAAACAACTGCTTACATTAGATATATAGTAAAACATACGTTCCTGAAAAGAAATCGTCGTTATAAACAGCATCTGCTGAATCTTGCCAGAAACAATGCAGTGCAATCACGACATTGTTTAACAACAATTTCCATAGCAAAGTGACAATGGTATGAGACGGAAAACATGACATTTGTGGCACATGCAATGTCCGTAGCACAGGTAAAGGTTTCAGGTGCGTTTCAAGGTGATGTGTTAGCACAGGTAAAGGTTTCAGGTGCGTTTCAAGAGTGATGTGTTCATAATGTGTTGTTTGTGTATAAGTAACAGTATTTCTGGGACACAGACATCTCACTCAAAGGGTATCTGATTACTGATTTAGACATCCAAGTGTCTCCATTCTTCAAACCATTAAACTCTCCAAACATAGAAAGCGCTAGACCTTAAACGCCTAACAATTATGGGACAATGAACTCGCGATGTTTTGGATTCGAACTATTTGTTACAGTGCTGGTACTCGATATAGTTTCTTTTCAACGTCCTCAGAAGGTTTATTGTATCACAGGTAACGCCATCGAGGAGGACATCCCGATATTAGTGAAGTATACGTTGACACCGACGGTGGCGGAACTCAAATTCCTCAAGGAATGGTGTAAGGCCACCACAAAAGACCCTGTAAGTTACAACAGCTCTTGTAACCAAGTCAACAGTAACAACCATGTCATCACTTTAAAGGAGAGGGTAACTAAAATTCCAGTGCGTTTTCCAATAACTTTTTCGAAAGAACACTTGTAGATTTCTACGTCGAAGTGCAAAATTTTTCGTGGTGATCACATTCAGGGTTCAGATTAACGGGGTTTCATTGCATAGAGCAAGGTATGTGCACAGTGTGTTTGGTGGATTTCGAAGGTGTCAGTAATTTTAGGTGAGGGAGAGACACCAGGTGGTACTGAAGATTGACACAGGGATGTCCAGGAACGGGTGCCAGGCTCACGACTTCCCCTTCCTTATACAAGTAGGTCCTTGTGGATTTACGAAATTAACATGAGTACCGTTTTGGATAATATGCTGCATTATATAGAACGTTACTCCATACCACATGTGTTGGATAATATACTCATGGAAACGAATAAAGTAACACACGAAAGCGCCAGTGTTCCTATACTCTTTTCCGGGTTTCTTGTCATGCTTTATATTGCACTGTGGGTGAAAATCTGGAAATAGATAAAGGAACACTTGTACATTCACGCTATCCCTTACTCGTTTCCATGAGTATATTCATAGTTCAACAGACGCCTGTTGTGCAAATGTGCGTAATGCATCGGAAAAGAGTTGAGCACAGGATGAGTCTGTGATTTAGTTATCGCTTAATGAACTTGACTGAATAGCACAATTGTTAATTTGCAAACATGTACCTATGTATCTGACATTGTATGTTGGTTCATCGATAACATCCTTTGGAGATTTCATGCAGCGATCTCTGGATGGTATTACAATTGTCTCCTTGCAGTTCTGCCAGACACACGGTCTAACTATCCACAGTGTAATGACGCACTTTTCCATGATATAGTAGAAATCGTACTATCGACATTGCTTGGCAGAGGATCCTTTGTCGATGTGAATGGGTCTTGTCGCTTTTATATAAAACATACCAAATCCGAGGATGACAGATGGTTCCTTCTGCTTTTGGGACTCGGGCTACAGAGACCATTGCAACCTTCAGTCTGGGCTATGCAGGTAGAACAGTAAGTAACTTGTCGAACAGAGGTGTGGTGTCTCTGGATGAAGGTGAGGCCGTTTGTCAGTATTATAGATGTCTCTGGCTATTTTAGAAACGGGGTAAGGAGTGGGCAGCATCCAGTTGAATCCAAGAGTAATCCCAAGCGTCCGTGTCCTAACATGACACTACCTCAGTGAAAAGTGAATGTCCCTCACATAGGTTTCTGTTTCGTCACATGTTTACTAAGATGTTGCATCCTTATCACAGCCCTTTGGCCTTTACCTTATTTTGACATTTAGGTTCAGTGCAGTGTTACACATAATTCATTCATTATTTCAGATGGTCCCCAACTTCCGCTTGTTGGGAGAGTGTCCATGGACGCCATCACAGTCCGCTTGATGAACCAAAGCCTTCGTCCACAACGTTCAACATCATCACTGACGACTTCACCTCCCCCAACAGCGTGACAAAGATGGCTGCTACTCGGCAAAATCCTCACGAGGTGACGACAAGTCTAGCTGCCAGACTACCTCGCGTGTTTTGTCTGGCGGACATGTTGTAGCTGTCACGAAAGCCTTGGTAACAGACGAGAGATGATAGTGGATTGTTAATCGTGGAGGAATGTTGTCTGACCATCTTCCAGGTGTTGAGGCAAGGGTATGTTGACAGAGTTAGCTTTCCTTACATTCTACATGCTGTCGTGTCTCAGTCACAAACGGTCATTGATTCTGGATTGTGGCGGATTATATCCTTCGTTACAAGCCATTGGTCATGGTATGGATTTGCAACGAAGAGCTATGTCCATTATCGTGAACAAACTTTGTGGACTTTTCGAAACATATTGTTTCAAGAGTAAGAAAAGACACCAGGTGGTACTAATGGTGGACACAGGGTTTGTCTAAGTATGGGTGTCACACTCTGACTTCATCTCACTTATACACATATGTTCGACTATCAATATGATATTGCGGGTATACGATGTGCGGGTCTCTGCTTCTACTCCTAACCACTGCATGATCAGGTACGTCTTGAAGGAACAGTACCAACGTGGATTACGCCAGCTTCCATGTGTCAGGGAGATGAGGTTTATGTCAGTATTCAGCAATATGGAACATTGTTTACCTGTCGAAAATGGGATACTGGCTCAGTTACTGCTTGTCTGCCCATCCTTGTTTATACTAGCGGGTGGTGTTGAGTCGAACCTCGACCTGAATCATCCCAACTAGATACAATGAAAGATGCACTTATAGCCCAAATAAAGCAAACAGAAGTTAGAGTTACTAAAGACATAAGCTCGATAAAAGAGGGCGTAAAATCTACCAAAGCAGAAATCCAAGATCTCGGAGGTGAAGTAGCAAAACAGGAATAGAATACCAGCGGATGAACAGGCCAAAGCTGAGCATATGGAAAGGTTCCAGAAGCACGATTAGAAGACCAGGAACGTCGTAATCGGAGAAATAATTTAATATTATATAATGTAGCCGAGGACGAGAAAGAAACTTATACACAATGCAAAACCAAGGCCTTGAAAATCCTAAACAAAGCCAGAGCCACACGAGAAATACCTTCCCTCGTGATATAGAAATAGCCCACAAGATTTCGCTACCAAATCTATCAAACATCATTGTAAAGATGTGCCATTGGGAGGACAAGTGGATGTCTGTCAAACTAGGATCGGTGATAAAATAGCAAGATGTCTGAATTGCTAACGATTGGCGCGCTTCATAGGAGATACAAACCAGATAGGTGAATATTATATAAGAGGAACGGGCTTGTGGAAGAGGAAAAAGGTAGTTTTAGTGTTAATTATAGACTGGAGAACTTGATATTATAGGTTTGATATTATAGGTTTAACAGAATCTTGGCTATGACAGGTTGGCCTCACGCATATATTTCCTGGTTTAAGTCTATTTGCATATTAAACCTGCGAATATCACATCTCGGCAGGCTCCCTGGAGGTATAATAACTCGGATTATAAATCATGTAGCCAAATTCATTAAATGGTTTACATCTGGCACAAATGCAATATCTATAATATTTGACAAATCTTTGTTTGGATTGGATCAGGATATAATGTACTCCTGTGTGCACCCAGAGAAGTCATCGTGGTATGATCAAACAAATATTACAAATAGAAATGGGATCAGCCTCTTCCTAGAAGACCAATGTAGGATATAACATACCTTGTGGCATTATTGAAAAGGAAGCCCGCTTCCAGAGGGAAGGGGGCTTACTTTTCAATAATGCCCACGGGTCACGTTATATCCAACTTATAAACCGACCGAAGATATACTTTAGATATAATTTCAATACCTGGTGTCGGCGCTACATGTTGGAAATTGTCAATAATGTCATATTTTAAGATCGCATTCAGTGATGGCAAGACAAAGTCGTATCAATCTTCAAAAAAAGTAATAAATCAAAGTCAAGGGCTATTCCTCAGAAAATCACCGGGCAGAGGGACGTTATTAAGATAATTGTCCGGGACAGAGGGACATTATTTAGAGAATTGCCCAAGGAAGTGAGATTGTATCAGATTTGAGGGATATTACGAGAAAAAGTGTCACCTAAGAACAATAGAGTGACGTCACCGTCGGGTTATAGTAGACATCATATCCTCGCACCTCAGTTTACACATTATGTGTGGAGGTGATTTTATTGCCCGCATAGTACAAACCCTGACTTCATTGAAGGCACTTAGGGTTTAATACACAGAGGGTCGTTACCATTGTGCATATGATTTTATTTTAGATTATTTCAATATGACACGGTATTCGGTGGACAAAGGTGTAAATAATTTTGGGTAGATCTCTGTTAGACATGTGTTTAACTCTCAACATTCACATTGTGAACGGAAGATGTGCCTTGATTCAAAACGCGGTGATTACACTTCCATAAGTGCACTTGGATGCAGTATTGTAGACTACATTGCAGACAACGTGCAGTGAAGTTGGACAAAGTACTGTGACTATGTTGACCAGTCCACCCAGCTGTGAATGGGTACCTCGTTAGATGAGAACGCCACAATAACTCGGTGCGCCTAGTGGCAGCAAGAGTTGTATACTCCCCAGGAGTTGAGATTGCTAATACGATGTGCAGTTGATATTGACATCCAATGATCGAGGGATAAAATACCAGCGCCTTGAGCATGCACTAGTGCGTGGATATGTGCGCTATATAAATATCCTATAATAAAATAAATAGTACCAAGAAACTTATTTGGAAAAGTAAACGATTGCACAATCCCATCCCGTGCTGAGACCTCACATCTCCCGCTGATATCTGACTTCAGTACTACCTGTGTGTATCAGAACAATGATAGTACAAGCGTGAACATACATGTCATAGCGGAAAAAATTGTCTGGGATATGAAACTGGGGGCAAGCTTTAGGAAAAATTATTAACTGATAAGATACAAGACCTACTTAGTAAGTCAGTTGAAGAAATGTTTGGAAATATCAACACGAGCATTGATTACTAAGTAGAAGCACTATCACTCGCGACGTGTGTATGAAAAGATATATTAGAAATACACATAACAACGATGAGACCTTATGATGAGAAATGGTTTGATAGAGAATGTGATGAACTGAAACGCAGTAGATTCAGGTGTTTAAATAAATTCAGAAAGTCAAATGACAGAGAATCCCTACATGCATATAATCTCGCTAGACATAGGTACAAAGTTGTATGTATGTAACGACAAACGTATCTGCAAAAACAGAGACGAACATTAGAAAATATTGTAAAACATCAAAAGGAATTCTGATCCCTACTAAGAAATCTGAATGGTAAATGCCACCCTGCTAACAGTATCAACATACATGAGTGGCTGTTACACTTCAGCAACCTATTTTCTACCGACATACAGATTGATAAGCAAGGTAACCTGAGTAGTGTAACACCACCTCCTGTAGACGAAGTTACATATGATATATACTGAACCATAAAAGAAATGTCGCACCGATAGCGGTTTCTAAAAGCACACACTTTAACTCACTCTAATTATACTACATTGTCCTATAAGCCATGAAGAAGTACCCAAAAGTATAGATAACCTCAAAACTGGCAAATCACCAGGATATTACAAAATACCTCCTGGAGTTTTTATATATTGTTACACCATACCTTGTTTTACTTTTTAACCAGATTTTACACACAGGGTGCTTTCAGGAATCTTGGACTGTAGGGATTATTGTTCCGATCCATAAACATGATGGTAGCAATAATACGAACAAATTACAGAGGCATAACGTTACTAAGCTTATTCAGTAAGATATTCACTTTATAAATAAGAGACTAAAGTTCTTGGCCGATAGTACGAATAAGATAAACGAAGCTCGCTGCTGATTTCGCGAGGGTTACAAAACAGTTGACAATATCTTTATCCTACAATCCCTTATACAAAGATACTTGTGGAACAAAGGATGTCAATTCTTTGCCCTTTTATTGATTTCTAAAGCTTTTGACACGATAGATAGAAACTATAGACACTTCTGCAATCTCACGTAATCACCCCAAAATGAACACCCTCTTTAACAAGCATATAGGGTAATGTATAGGCCTGTGTAAGAAATAACAGTGAACTTTAAGATATGTTTAAAATAAATATGGGAGTTAGACAATGATGTATTCTGAGCCCTTATTCTTTTCTTTCTTTATTAATGAATTAGCCAGCCAAATTCATGAAAACTGCAGCTATGGACTACAACTACACCCCGATGCCATTGAGCCTTTCTTGCTACTTTTTGCAGATGATGTTACAATGTTCCCACCACAATCTCCAGCAGCAAATTTGGGAACTTGAAAATTCTTTGAAGATGCAAAATTGAGTGTAAATATGGACAAAACTAGAGTGATTGCTTTTAAAACTGGAGGTAAATTAGCGAAAAATGAAAAGTGGTTATATAACGGGCAGATGTTAGAAACTATGTCTTTCTATAAATATTTAGGTGTCTATTTTACAGATCGCCTCACTTGGAACTTACATACTAAGGAGGTGTCAAACCAGGCTAAGAAAATACTGATAGGAATTGGCAAGAACCTTTCTGTACTTTAAACATTTTTAACTAAAAAATAAGTCCAATACTACTTATGGGTCAGAGGTATGGGGACTTAAAAGCTTATTATGCAATCAAAAAGTACACTTATTTGCGTGTAAAAATATATAGGAATTATAACAAATGCTCCCAGTGTTATGGTGTACGGGGAAACTGGACGTTATTCTATATATATATATATATATATATATATATATATATATGCTTATATAAAAGTCATTAAATATTGGTTACGACCTATCCATATGCCCCCTTACAGATACCCACGAAAGTGCTACGAAATGATGTTAGTATATGGTGAAAATGGTAAACGAAATTGGGCCACACACGTGAAGGAAATTCTTTTTAATACGGGATTTAACTACATTTGGTATGATCAGCATGTTAACTGTACTTCAAATTTCATAATGACTTTTACACAGAGATAAAAAGACATATTTCTGCAAGATTGACATCACACCCTGAGTCTGTCGAGTAAATGTTTCTATTACAAACAGCTAA